GAAGTCTCTAAGACCTGTTAAGTACTCAGGAGGCACTATGCAAACCCACAAAATAGCAGCATTAATCGTCAGGCAGACTTGTCAGGCTACTCAATACCTGAGTGACAGATGAGAATGGAGTGGAAAAGAGAATAGGGAAGGGCAGAAAGCAAGAATTAGGAGGTTTCCACAGACACCTCCTCAAAGTCTCACAATCATTCTTCAAAACCTTCCTTTTTTTTTTTTTGAGTGAGACTTTGCTTTCCATTTCATAGGAGTAAATCCATGCTTTAGCACTGATTTCACCGGAATTACTTCAGATTTACTGCAGTGTAGCTGCACAGCATTGGCTCTTTATAATAATATGCCTCATTAGTGGCTACTTACAGTGTAACTGAATTATAGGACGTCTAGTTCTGGGCAGTTGCTGCAAAATGGAGCACTGACGTGACACCTAATAAAGTACTTGTAAATGTCTTCTGGGAGCTATAATGCTACATTATTTATGAAGTGCCATTGTGTTTTAAAGACAGAAGACCAGATGTTAAAATCTGTTTTTTTCACACAACGTCACTGAGGATTAAATCTATTGTCTTTACTGAGCATATCCCAATATATAGAATGCACATGTTGGCATGGAGCATCCCTGTGGAGGCACAGAGGTCAGGCACGCCAGGGCACACCAACACCATCTATGGAGACAGACTTGTTCGAAGTGGATGCGTCCCGGTTTGAGCACCAAGCCAGATGTTAAACACTTCTGCAAACATAAGTCGGGAATTACATTCTGATTTCCCACGAAGCTAGAAGCAGTAGGATTTTTTGTGATTACTTACACACTATTTCTGCTAGGTGAAGAGAGCTCAGGGAGAGTGGGACACCTCTTAAACAAATAATAGTCCCCCATTGTGATTTTTGGGAACAAGTGGGTTCCTACCAGGAGTTTTCCCTAAAAAGCAGATCTTCATACACGAGCACTGGATGTGTGTTAAAGAGAATTCTGATGTGAGAAAAGAAATGCAGCGTAAACTTCAACCCCTACAGCAGCAACATGCCATAACCCCACTTGCTGCATTTGCTGTTTGGTGCCTGAGGGCAGCACGTTGCCAGAGTCCTGGAGCACGTAGGCAGAGGTGTCTCCTGCCACGTAGGAAGTTTAGTCTGGTCCTACCCTGAGGCGCTGCCACCAGGCGCCTGCAGCTCCCAACCAGCTGTCACATCAGCAGTGTTCACCGGGGGCTGTCTGCTGTTTTGCAGTGCTGTGAAGATCTCTCTCTGTCCAGTGTCCCATGAAGGAGAGCCAGGCAGAGCTTACATCAGAGCCCTGACAGTGGAGCAAAACCTCTCTTGGGGGAAAAAAAACAAAAATAAATTTAAAAAAAAAGTAGATTTGGGAGCTTTGAGGACATTATGATTCTGTAATTATCCTCCTGGAACCAAAGGGGAACCAGCTGTTCTCTGAAACCCACGCGTTGCCTAACCAAGTCTCTCACCAGGCTGATGCCCAAAGTGCTGCTGAGGCACTGCTGGGCAGGTAGCTCTTGTGAGCTCCCACGCACTTGGCAGCAAAGGGGCCCATTACTCTCTTGGGCTCCCCTCCAGCTCTTAATATCAGATCAGGTGAAGTCATTCTAGTGAAGATCTTTTCCCTTTTTTTCACCTACAGATAGGAGCAAAAAACATCTTACTGGCTAAACCAACGTGTTTCTCAAAGCACTTTACTTAGGTGATTTGAGCATTCATGGTCCCTTCCCAACAGGTATGTCCAGTCCCTGCAAACATGGAGAGATGCTGTAAGCAACCATGGGAGCTCCAGCACCACCAACACTACACAAGGATGTCACATTACAAAGCTTAGGGCTTTAGACCCCTGGAATTACCCTGTCTGAAGCTTTGCTAAAGTTTTGAAGAACACCTAAAATAGGGAGCATGACTGACCACAAATGTTGACCTACTTTAAGTAAGCATTTCCCTAGGGAGGTAAACTGCTTGTTTTGGGCATATCAGAGGAGTCTGGGATGAGTGGTCTTGTTCTTTGCTTCTCTCCTGCCTGGACAATCCTCTACTGGCATCAAGTGACAGGAAAGGGGTGTAAGGCAGCATGGGCAGTCCTACTCACCACGATCATCTTCTGTCCTCTCCTCTTCTCTCCTACTTCTCGTCAGGAGGGGCCTAAAATACCAGTGGAGAAGGAACAACCAGTGCATGTCTGCTCTCAGGTCTCCCAAAGCCTCCAAGACCTCCAATCTCCATTCCCACCTCCCTTCTTCCCACACCAATCTCAAGCTTCTTACTGGTGCAGAGCTAACCAAATGCTGCTTCTGCCCCATGAAGGTACCACTGATCCCTTTACGAACCTGCAGCAAAGACCCCCAAGGGTCTCCCAGCCATCACCTCTGAATTCCCTCTGAGGCCTCCAGGGATTTTAAAAGCTAGACGTTCTGCTAAAATAATTCTATGGCTAGAATATTTTAGTTCATTTTCTACAGGGAGTTAGTTTAAATTGTGAAATGTTTACAACCCAAAACTGCTTCCACAACCCTGGCAGAAGGAAAAGTAGAAAACCTAAGATGGACAAACTGTGGGGGAGAGACTGTGCAGTGCTGCCTGAAAAAGTTAATTTCTGTACAGGGGGTTGCTGGACTCAGGACTGCCTTCCAAGTTCTCCCTACAAATCATCCAAAGAGGTGCGAAGGGGACAGGGTTTTTGGACAGCATTTTACAGAGGAAACCTCCAAAACTGAGAATACAATTATGATAGCAAAGGCTGGGGCAGGTGTGAGGGCAGTGAGGTTCCTCTCCAACAAAAAGGCTGCAGCTCCAGGCAGCCATCACCCTGCAGGGAGGCAGCAGTGGGCTTGTGCAAAGAGGTGTCCTGGCCAGCTGGAATGGACATAGGGTGGCACAGGAGCCCCGAGGAGCTTTGGATAGGACTAAAATCAGCCTGTGTTGTCAAAATGTCCCAACAGAAACACACTATAAAAATAATTGCTTTTCTATAATTGTTTAAATCTTTAAGAAAACAAATCCCATTTGAGGTGAATCTTAAGAGCACATGGCCCTCCCACTGGGGAAACCCGTGGGTGTTCAATAGATCTGGGACCTGATCTCAGCTGTGTGCCATGTAGATGGGATGGTCATTCTTTATTCAAAATAAATGGAGCTGGTAAATAATCTTTTTGCAATGAAAACAGCTGAAGTTGCAAGACTGATCAGAAGAATACGTGAGGCTGGTCAGAACCAAACTGGGTAAGAAGATCCTGGCCTTGGGACTGGGTGCCAGAGCAGAAACCTGTGCACCAGTGCTAGCAAAGTGTTCCATGTGTGCGTTTGGCTAGATGTGGCTGGCAGAAAAGGAGCAAGCAGGTTGTTAAGCAGAGTGAGAAGGTATTTACAGGATGTCCCTTAGAAAATATAATACAGAAAGGTTGAGGTGCTGACTGGAGGAGAGCTCCCCTGCAGCACTGAGGGACCAAACATGTGCCTCAGACACTATGTCAAAGAAATACCTGATTATAGCCAGTTTCCATCCCTACAGGAAGCAACCTGGGGATCCCTCAGCATTCAATAGCTGCTTGGCTCGAAACGGGCAACAGTAGTTCCCACATTTCAGTGAGAGCAGTGCCACATCTCTGATGGGTGTGGAACACTATCTCGGAGCTAACTTTGCATTTCTCAGGAATGCAGTTAGACATTGCTGTGTTCTACATCTTTCTAAATACCACCTGCTGCAGCAGTCTCCTCCTAGACCCTGCTCAGGTCAGAGCTGGGAATTTCAGATAGCTGTTTGGGTGCACCGCTGGCACCTAGCATGTTGTTCTTCTGCCATAAACTTCTGAGGACCTCGTAAACTATGTGGGATAATTAGTCCTTGACTCAGCTCCAGTGGCGCAATGAAACTAAATTAAGGTTGAATTTAATCACGGGACAGTTAGTATCGAGTGGCAGAGGAATCTCCCTTTGCCATCTCTACCATGATGTGGAACGCAGCTGCTGCTGGAGAGGGGAAGCTGCCTCTTGCAATGCAGGTGGCAGGTGACATCAAAGAGATGCTAAGGAAAATGTTATGTACTCCCTGTTCAAAAGAATACAAACTACAATGGGCTCCGTAGGCACACACTGTTTCCTGCAGGAAAAGGGCTTCAGAGCTGTGATATTTTTCCCCTGTGTTGGTACCACACAGGAAAGTGTGAAATTTATCAGTTTTCTAAAGCAGCCCCTTTTGTAAATACAAACTGAGTTTGGCTTGGAAAAAAGTTTTCATTCCACATTTCAATGTGTTTACCTTCAGAGACTGTTTTGCCATGAGGAGCATCCAAATGAGACAAATCTTTTCCCAGCTGGGCTATGACCCTGGGAAAGCTCATCCCTGGAGGG